ATTCTAGATCTGAAAAGACTCAATTGGTACATCAAGTGCCAAAGGTTCAAAATGCAGTCCTTAAAGAGCATCTTGGCATCCATCCGCCAGGGCGACTTGATGACAACAGTCGACATCAAGGAAGCGTACCTCCATGTGCCCATACACCCGGCACATCGCAGATTTCTGCGTTTCCAGTTCGCAGACCGGCATTTCCAGTACAGGGCTTTACCCTTCGGTCTCTCCTCGGCCCCGCGAACCTTTACCAAGCTCCTAGCGGTGGTGCCGGCTTCGCTTCACTCGGTTCCAGTGAGAGTGAATTGTTACTTAGACGACATCTTGGTCCTGTCGCCGTCTCGGGAACAGGCCCTCTGGGATCTTCAAGTGACAATAGACACCCTGCGGAGGCATGGTTTCATCCTCAACCTTCCCCAAAGTCACCTGCAGCCAACTACATCACTGCTTCACTTAGGGACCGTAATCAACTCTGCCACGTGCGAAGTCTTCCTATCCCTGGAAAGACGTCAGAGCATTCAACGACTAGCGACCCAGGTGTCAGCTCAGCGGCTTGTGCCCCTGGCCCTGCTCTCCCAGCTGTTAGGGAAGATGATTTCCTGCATCGACATCGTTCCCTGGGCCAGATTTCATGCACGGCCACTGCAATGGTTCCTGCTCCCATATCAGAGGTCTCACACCAGTCATTCGCAACTCAAAGTTCAACTGCCATCCAAACCTCTCAGATCCCTTCATTGGTGGGCATCATCCAAGCTTCTCAAGGGGTGCCCATTCAAGGAGCCGGATCGTATCCAAGTTACGACAGATGCCAGTCTTTTCGGATGGGGCGGCCATGCCTTGAACCGGGTGGCACAGGGCCGTTGGTCGAATCGGGAGCTGAACAACAGCATCAATTGGCTAGAGCCATCCATCTGTCCCTGCAGGAGTTCCAGGACATTGTGAGTCACAATCACGTGCTGATTCTAACGGACAATGTGGCCTCCAAAGCGCATGTCAACCGCCAAGGGGGCACGCATTCCAGGGCCCTAATGTTGGAGGCGGAGAAGTTGCATCATTGGGCGGAGTCCAGACTGTTGTGGATCCGGGCGGAACATATTTCTGGCGACTCCAACGTCCAGGCGGATTGGTTGAGCAGGGCCACAGTGGAGATCACCCCGACCTCTTCCATGAGCTCTCTCGCTGGTTCGGCAATCCAGTGGTGGACTTGTTCGCACAACCTCACAACGCACAACTGCCTCGCTTTTACTCCAGATATGTGACCCCCGGGGCGGAGAGGGTGGATGCCCTGCGCAGCCCGTGGCCGGCTGGCCTTCCCGCTGCTGCCAGTGATACCGGCAGTCATCCAGAAGATATTGACGGAGCAGGCGGAAGTTCTCTTAGTGGCTCCGATGTGGTCCCGACGTCCCTGGTATGCCGACCTGGTGCACCTGTCGATTTCCCGCCCGTGGAGAATCCCGGACGAGCAGATCCAGCTCAACCAGGGGGCTCTCGTACATCCGAACCCCCAGGTGTTGCAATTAGCCGTGTGGCACATGAGCGGGCTCTTCTGACCGAGCTTCATTATTCCAACGAGGTCATTGCCATGATTCAAGCGGCCCGTCGCCCCTCCACCACTCGGATTTACGAGGCTACCTGGCAGGCTTTCTGCAGATGGTGCCGCCGGACTGGGGCAGATCCCCTTCAGGATTCGGTGCCCCGAGTTTTGGACTTTATGCAATCTGGACTTAACAAGGGTTTGGCGCCCAATACGCTTCGCAGGCAGGTCACGGCCCTTGCCACGGTGATTGGGGGCGGTCAGGGAGGTTCCTTGTCTCAGCATTCGCAAGTCAAGGCTTTCCTGAAGGGGGCGGCCAACATCAGGCCTCCGACCGTACACCGCTACCCTACATGGGATTTGACTTTAGTGCTCAGGGCACTTATGGACTCTCCATTCGAACCTATTACTTCCATCAGTCTTCGTCTATTGACTCTTAAGACAGTGTTCTTGGTGGCTATTACATCAGCCAGGTGGGTTTCCGAATTGGCGGCGCTGTCAGTTCGGGCGGACCTCTGTATCTTCTACCCCAACAGAGTCGTTCTCCGCTTGGACCCAGCCTTTCTACTGAAAATCAACACGTTATTTCACAGGGCTCAGGAGCTCGTCCTCCCGGACTTTTGCCCCAACCCTTCTCATCCGCAGGAGCGCCAATGGCATCACCTGGATGTGCGCAGAGTTCTTCGTCGCTACATGAAACGCACGGCGTCCTTCAGGCGATCGGAAGCGCTTTTTGTGTCCTTTCAGCCATCATCCATGGGGCAGAAAGTTTCGTCCCATACGATAGGTCGCTGGTTGAAGGCGTGCATCACTCTTGCTTATGACAGTCAATCTCGGCAGGTTCCCAGGCGCATCACTCCTCATTCTACCAGGAGTGCGGCTACCACGGTGGCCTGGGCCACGCAAGCTTCAGTGGAAGAAATATGTAGAGCGGCTACCTGGTCTACGCCTTCGCTGTTCATCAGACATTACAAAGTTGACGTGTATGCCTCGGCTGAGGCCTCCTTTGGGCGGCGTGTGCTGCAACAGGTGCTTTCCCCTGCGGGGGACCCTGGCCAGCCTAGCTCCCGCCCTGGATCTTAATTGCTTTGGCATGTCCCATGCTTGGATTCCCCTCGCAGCACACATAGAAGGACCGTTCAGGTAAGACAACGGTCGATCTCTCATGAGAAGAATCTTGCACCAGGACAC